TGTATAAAATTTTTAAAAAAATGTCCTGATTACATGGATTATTTCAATAAATTCAAAGATTGTGCAAATACTAATGATTATAAATTAGAAAGAATTCAAATAAAAATACGATTATTTATATTTAGCGTTTTCTTTTATAAGAGTGTCTTGAACTTTTGCTTCTAATATTCTAATGTAATTTTGCCTAATAAATCAACATCGTTTATTGCCTTTTGCAGGTTGTAATATTTATCTGCCATCTCTCTGAATCTATCAGTCAATATCTGTCTTTACTCTCTCATGTGGATAACCTCGTAAGCTAGTGTCTTCATTTTCACCTTGCATTCTTTAACCTGGTTATAATTACAACCAACTTCTCGAGACACGACCTCCAAAGCAAGAGCACTTCTATCGTTGTTCGCTGGGATTGTAATTGGAGGCAGGTCCGTCTGGGTATATTGATCTTTTGTCTGATGTTTGATAGCTTTTATCTGGCGCTTTTTGACCAATGTTGATAACTGGGATGTGGCTCTTCTCTTCATTTTTATGATTTTCCAGTAAACGAATCTTTGACAAAAGAGAGATTCTTTCATGAATTAAATGATTGAGTTCGTTTTTTTGACGAAGATATGCCGCGTAGTAAGTTCTGTATCGTGTACTAAAATATAGACAATTCCTTTTAAAATTTTCAATTTCTATCTCTAATTCTGCTCGCTTCACTTCACTTATACGAAGCTCTTGTTTGAAATGTTTAAATCCAGGCTTGTGGGTCGGGTTTGTGTACTCTCTTTTTACATAGGCTCGGACTTTACGAGATCGTAAGTTGTATCCCATTGAATCTGTTAATCAGGTGAGAAAACATATTGATCAATCCGAGTATATGAGACTACACACATTCTCTTTGCTCTCTCCCGCTTGTATCGGTTTTGTGGTTCATCCTCTCTTGTTCCTCTAAAGCACTCTAATATGAAACTAGTCAATGAAGGTTTTTTCTCTATGGTTCCCGGTATGTAATGTTCTGCGACATTATCACCCCGCTTGATGAAGTACATCGGTGAACATGTACTACATCTGCTCGCTTCAGGAATAATGTAACATCTTTGACAAAAATGATTATAAGCGAATGGCAATACGTTCGTATTGAACATCTCATGTATGGTTTCCATTCAAAGTTGGGACAAAATTTTGTATTCATTACTATGATTTAAATGAATAAGAAGAAAAGGACAATCAATATGTTTTTAAATAAATTAAATTACAAAATTCGTTAAATATCCACAATCAAATTCAGTACAACAGTACAATACCACCATCTACTGAAAAACTGTGCTGATCATTTCATTTTAGTTTATTTTCTTTAGTATTTAATAGATGTGATGTTGTGTATAAACCTTACGAAATTTTTTAGTTCGAAAACCAATTTTACACCAACTTGTGCACACTAAATCTCCAGAACTACTTGATGGATGTGCAATGTATCGTTCTCTCACGCTTAAAGAACTGTAAACAGCAATATATCAAGCATCAAAATCGGATGAGTGCATCTGAAGTTAACTTTGACCAAAGTCAGGTTCGAAAACCTATTTTGTCAGGTTTTACTTCAAACATGTTCAGGAAAAACAACTATATTTACCTTTAGGTGTTTGACTGGGTTTCTTTGTTGCAATTGATGTGGACCGTAGTTAGTTAATGAGCAAGATGGACTTGATAGGAAAGTGAAATTTGACTTTTACTACTGTTATGGGTATTAGTAAAATTTGATGGTAAATAGATAAAAACTTTAAAGATTAATACTTAAACAGGAAGAAAACTATTACGGTGAAACTTTATCAATATTTTACTTGTTGATTTGATGAAGACTTGCTGAATGAGTTGACTGGAGAATTTTGCGCATTTATATATGAAAAATCATGGTTAATTAGTAGGCTACATCTTCTCTTTTTTTGAACAATTATGATTATTTATCCTTGATCTTCCTCATTCAAAGTCTTATCTAGTTGATCTTAATGAATTCACTTCTCTTAATTGAATTTAAGGTCACCTAATTATCCTTGAAGGCTAAAGATTTAACAGAGTAACTGAATTGTAGATCAAATTAATGAATTTTAGGTCAAATAATTTTGCTTGATTGCTATGCTTTAATTCTAATGAAGGTGCAAAGCCTACTGTTCTGAAATCAATATAAAATGCTGTCAAATGTTGAGAATCATCAGTTTACATTTTTAAGTCTTCGTGCAAAGTTCGTTTTATATATTGTTCATCATGCTCCAAGTTTCATCGACAATCGAAGACATCTTCGGAGATGAAACAATTTGTTTCTCTCCGATGGATCAATCCACCGTTGAACAACCACAAGCTGAGCTGCCATCAACTCTGCAAACTTATGTTGATAAGTTTTTAAGTGAAATGTTTCATCGATTAACGGTGCACAAGTTCCTTCATTACCAACGATGGAAACGACCATTAAGGAGCTACAGGTGAAAATTGACCAACAAAATTCAACCATAAAGATGTTGGAAAGTTTGACTGCGAATGCACATTTCTTGATTTATACATTGAATGAAGAGATCAAAGCAATCAAAAACATATTGAAAAATCAAAGTTTTATATTTAATAAACTTATAGTTGACACCCAAGGTGACACTTGGGTTCAAGTGCAGAAATAAATTTTGAATTCCGAAACAAGTTTCATTTCAATTTCAATTTTATTCAATAACCGGTTTCGCGATTGAGCCAGAAATTGGTTTTTCATACTACTAAAGTTTGATTTTTATCATTTTATTTGGTAAAAATTAGTCAATATACGTAGTAGTCTATCAACAAACATAGACTTTTAGTCAAAATTTGCTACATTTTATCATCATTATCATTATTGTTATTAATAATCTAAGCCTAAAAAACTTGAATCTTTTTCATTTTTATTATTGTAAAAGATCATTCACTCTTTTGAACCTTAGTGAAATGCGTTAAGGCGAATCAATATGAGAAGAATCAGCAGCAATCAAAGCATCAAATCGAACCTCGGACGGAATGGAATCATTGGAGGTAGATGATGAAAGCTCATTTGTAGAGGCAACACCACCAATGGTTTTCGTAATCCTTGGCTGTGGTCCATACTTCATGATCAAACCATGCAAACCAAGGAGGAAGCCGAATCCTGTTGGATCGATAGTCGAATCTGGAACTTCCTTAGGAGACTAATAAACTAAGCCAAAGAAATAAATCCACCCAAGTGCTTGGAATCAAGCAAAGCCTCCTTTATTTGTTGGCTGTTGGAGCGAAGGGCTTAACACTACGTTCAGAGGGACGGATGCTGATTCATCAGAGACGGATATTGATAGAGTCCCAGCGACAAGAGACATCAAAACGGCAGAAGTAGGAGAAGGGTGCGGAATACGAGGAGGAGAAGACAAAGAAGTCGACTTAGCGACAGGTAGCGGAATGAGGTTTCGAGTACAACATCCACCAAAAGTCCTCAAAAACGGAGGAAACGAGCACGTGAACGGCATAGGGTTTTCCATAAAGTGGTCCAGATGGAAGTGATGCAGGACCGAAAGCGGTCAATCTCATGGTGAGAGAATACAACGATAATAATCGTGCAGTCATTTCTGATTAGATCTTCTCTATTTGGGAGTCGAAATGACATGTTGACAAGCTTGGAAGAAGTGAATAAAGATCTTCAAAAACCACCATATTTATATGCAAACTTCAGTTTTGAAATGTAAAATCCACCGCGCATCTTTTCCACGCATTTTCTTCCCCCTAAAATAGGCTCCACCTTTTAGTGGCAATAGATACTCTTTACTACTGATGAGAAACTCGCATAGAAGACGTACTAGGTTTCTAGGTCACCTACGAGTCAAGTAATTGCGAGGAAGCTTCGGACAAATTAGCTGAAATGCCCTGAAATAGAACCATCTACGTCAGGATTAAAATTCATTTAGATCCAATTTAATATGTCTTCAGCTGTTAAATTGACAATGTTGTGAGATGGAAAAATTGGGGTTTATTGAAGAATAGACTCAACCCAATGATAGATGAATATTTGAATGAAATTGTTATTATAATATAGCTGTTTAGGTACAAGAACCTCAAATTCGTTATAGATGTACCAGAGGTATTCACTATTTAACTATTTACAAGGGAAGGTGCCCAATTGGTACGATTTTTTCGATTTTTTTCTGGTTGATATTGTAGAGGACGAAAAATAATTAGACACGTATTCTGGCTTTTTTTAAGCAAATGCGCGGTTATTGATATTTAAGCATTTTAATTAAAGATAGTGATGCATTGTAGTCAATGAGAAGAACATAAAACAAATGAAAAGCAGAAAAATGAAAAATCCTTATGAAAATTGTGAATCACTTTTCAGTGACTCCAATAGACTTCAATGCATTATCCAATACTTATGAGTGCCTAAAAATCAATAACCGCGCATTTGCTTAAAAAAAGCCAAAATACGTGTCTAATTATTTTTCGTCCTCTACAATATCAACCAGAAAAAAATCGAAAAAAATCGTACCAATTGGGCACCTTCCCTTGTTAGAGGTTTGTTGAGGCAATCTTACCCAATTTTATTGATACAACATTTGACTATTTTTGTTAAAGATTTAAATTATTAATCAACATGGATAGCATTAAATGAAACTTTGATTTTGATATTTCTGATAATTTTCTGGCTAATTTATTCTCTTATAAATTCAGATCATAGCAGAATTGCTTAAAAATTGAAGCTTGATCATTTAATTGACAACATTGTATTGAATGTAGTTTATCGAAAATATTCAGGGACAATTTTAATTTTTGTAATTCCTGATTACTCCCATTTTGTTATATCCTACTGAGATTGTATTGAATGTAATAAAAAATCTCACTAAATAGCCCTTTTTATGAATAGGTTACTGTTTTATATTTTTATGAAAGACGGGCGTTATTTTTCCCACCGATTTTACATGATAATCATCCTTTTTTAATCAACTAGATCATGCTATTTTTGTAAAAGATTAAATTGATCAACATGAGTAACAGGGGAAATTACAGCTTTCCATGAACCAGGAAAAAAAGACAATGCGAATATCTAGTCAATAGTTTGTCAGAGGCTCTTTTCTGTTTTTGATAGAATCTTATGCTTGTGAAAATGTTTCTCTTTTCCTTGGTTCTTCTTCAGCTTCTTTCAGCTTTAAATGCTGGTAAGTAATCATAATTAATCTAAGATTGTTGATTTTCACGAATCTAAAATTTTAATTTGTTCAACTGAAAGAATCGTTGGTGGATTTACCTTTAAAGTTGGATGGTCATGAGTCTTTAATGCTTGAAGCAGTCTTAACCGTAAGTTGAGCCTTTGTTAGGAGTGAGACTAACAAAGAGTAAGAGTTCATTTTCTTACTTATAAACGTTTCTTGCTCTTTTTAACCAGGCCCAGGCAAACGGTGAAAAATATTTTTTACAAGAGTTCATATCTGTGAATCCATATGATCAAGGAAAAATTGAAATTTCATCTAAATTGGATTCAATTAAAGTTCATTATGCTGTCTCACACAACGAACATTTTGAAGCCAACAAACGGTTGGTTGTTCAAGGTAAGAAACCTTTTTTTAACATTCGTCTGTTTTTTGCATTCGCTGTTGTTGCCTTAGATGCGACTTTGTGGTGACTGTGTTCATACCATTGTTAAACCAGACTAAATAATATTTTGTCGTTTACAGAAACCTCATGTGACCTTTTTAGTTACTCCACGAAATGGGATAAAATGCTGCCAAATATTAATAAACCATTGTTGAATCTCATTTTGTTATTGGGACCTTCTGTTTTTTATCGAATCAATGGATACTCGACTTCATGGGTAATGAACTTTTTAACCTTTTGGATGTCTTGTTCAGTAAATATCTTCATGGTTTAATTTGTGTCTCTTTAAATGTTGCAGAAAAAAGTTGCCAGTTCGAATGTTAGAGGCAAAAATATGATTGGATATCAAACAACTATAAACCAAAGGCTCAAGATAACTTATTACTACAAATGTAAGGTGAACTCGTTTTGGATTCATTTTTGGTTCCATTTTTAAAAGTTTATGTTTGCTTGATTAAATAGCGGAATTCGATAAAGATGCTCGTAAACCAAGCAGGATAGTATTCGATGGATATGATCCTGGCTCCAGCTTCTCTCCTAATGAAAATTTGATCATGGATATTTATTCAATAGACGAATCTCCGGTTGTACTTGCCGAGAATGTTCAAGTAAGAATAATGAAAACTGACATTTAATTCTGAAATGCAAAATTTTTCCCATGATTCATTATAACGGAAAACCTTTTTCTTATTTCTATTTAGGTTACTCCTGGAGTTGGCTGTCCACTTTATGTATCAGACTCGAAAGTCATGCCTAGTTTGAGAACTACTCAAATGCAAATGATTGTGCACGAAAGAGTTGTAGGATCATCGACATCACTAACAAAAGATGAGGTTTGATATAAATTTTATTCATGCGTTTTTATCCATCTATCTTGTATTTTTGGCTAATTGTATGAAAAAATATGTTTCAGTACTATATAGATACCGGCCGGTCACTAATAAGACGGATAACAACTCATCTTGAAATCACAGTCGATGTAATCTATGATTACAATTTAGGTTTAATTTACGTCTTACAAGATCAATCTTGTTTGATTCAACCAATGGGACTTACAACACCTGCCTTAGATCAGAACGGTGCCTTTTCATGGCAAAGTTTACTTTGGATGGATGTTGTTTATTTCTACCTTGGTGAGGTTGATTTTGTAAGTATTTTTCCTTAGTAGCGTATTACTTGTTAGCTTTATGATTTTGCTAAAATTGATATTGTTGAATAAATCTTGATAGGAATCATACCCTGGTTTCAAAGTCTCAGCCTGGGAAGCAGTGGCCAATGATATGACCCTTCATAGTGGAAAGTATGATAAAGTGGTTACAACACTTTACTTGGCAAAATCGGTATGAAATTTTCAACTAACACTTGCAATCGCAATTTAATGAATCTTCAATCTCGTTGAACCAATTTATTCATCAAAACCGTAACTAATCAAAATGAATTCATTTTTCTCAAAAAAGGATGAAAGAGATCTTTTCTATGGCTATACTTTAGTTGGATCTGTCAGGAAAGCATATAAAAAAGGTTCCAATGTAAGCTGAATTAATTTCATCAAACTTTTAAGAATACATTTCTCAAATTGTTACTATTGGCTATTAACGGCTTCTTTGACTTTTGATTCAGGGAAATTATATTCTTGTGGAAACAACCAAGCGAAATTACTATGATGCTAGAAGCACAGCTTCAGAAGATGAATTTAACGATCGGTTCCAAGTTGGTGATTGTTATAAAAATCCAGAGAGCAGAATTGAACTGGCCTTCAAATTAACATGTTCAGGTAAGATAAGATGATTTATGCACAATCAGTTCGAATCGCACGTTAATTTTTTTATTCTGCTATTCATTTTTTATTTTATTTTACTGTAGCTCAAGGTTGCCGTAAGCTGGCTGAAGATATGTTGACGGAATTCAAATATGCATTCAAATCATACATTCTCAGTGACTACACGATCTCGCCTTTAAGAATCGATGATATTAGTTTTGTTATCAATGAGAATCAATTGGTGGCTTTTACAACATTCCTAGAACGACCTACTTTCTCTTGTTAGTTGACTTTTCACACAACTTACTGTTTATTAACTATTAATTATGAATATTTTTTCCAAATTTATTCAGCTGCCTTCCAAAAGAGAGGAGTGTACATTGGTTCAGATTACCTAAACAAACTTTCTGGCGTTGATATGGCAGATGAATCTCAGTGTTTAGATTATCAAGCTGCATATTTTGCCCCAATAAGGTACTCCTTTGAATAATTTTAATCAATAATTGATAATTAAATCCGGTATTTCATTGTGATTTCCCTATTTCTCCAGATATGTGCTTTATTGTACCAGATCCAAGCGCCAAGTGTGTTATCATGTTGAAAAAGGAGCAACACTTCCTATAGGTGGAAACGAAAACTATTGCAAAGTTTATGATGTACCGTTGGGCAATTTTCACAGATTTGGTCAGGAGCTTAATCTTAAAGATGTCCATAACTCCATGCTTAATAAAGCAAGTTATTCCATACTGTACTTTCAAGGAGTTAAATATCAAGTTGAAGATGTGGTTGATAAAACTCAGCTTTTCAATGATGAAGCCCAATTCCCATTTCAAGTAGCGATACACGACGCGAGAATCAAGGAAGACCATAATTTCCAAGTCGTTTATGCTGAAAAGGTTGCTAATTTGGGACAGTGTTACAGAGAGTGTTTACATTCCGATGAAACAATTTGTGAAACATTTTCATATTGTGAAGGCAGCACTGGCGTTGAATGTTTAATCACAAAAGCACCATTTGAAACAATATCGGACAATATTACAATTGACAAAAACTGTAACACATACTCTAAAAATTATTACTCTGATTATTTTAAAGTAGCCCAGAAAAAATTTATATCAACGGCTTCTGCCACAATTAATATACCATTGTATGATTGTGCTTCCCTTTGTCACTCCTCAAAAGGATGCTACTCGTTCCAATGGTGTGGTGGTTACTGTACCTTCGGCGGATATTTTACTGATTCAAACTCTGAATATGATGAAAAATGTGATATTTACGTTCGTAAGTTTCCCTTTCTTAAAACCCTTTGATCCATTTTTTAAATCACTTTTTTCTCAATAGCCAAAGTCTCCAATAATTATCAAATCACTGGTAAAAAAATAGTGGAGCAAGCATATCATACTGAACTCAATTTAAATATGGCTCAATGTGCTTCTATTTGTTATGACATATCGGACGGTGATCAAAAATGCAAATCATTCAATTATTGCCCTAAAGGGAGGACACCAAGCTCATGTTTATTAACCACATATTCAGTTAATGATCCAAATACGAAAACTATTGAATCAGAAAATTGTTACAACTATGAAATCCTTGAAAAGGGTAATAGTAAAAAAGTTAGCGTTAACGAAACACCGAAAGGAACTAGCAGCGGCGCAGCCTTTGGTATTATAATGCTTTTCTTAGTTGGTGGCTTAGCAGTTGGTCTTGTGCTACCAATTGCTTACGATAAAGTAAAACTTTTACCAAGTGTATCATCAATAAGAGAAAGATTCCAACAAGGGTCAGCTGACGTAGGATTTGGATGGTCAAAACAAGTCAATGAAGATGAAGGTCGATCCAGACTTGATCAAACTACAATTGAGTAGACCAGTGTGTACAGGGTTCATACTCTACTTTGAAGCGCGTCAAAACCTGAACAATCTTTCAGATGCTTGACTTTGCAAGGTTAATTTTACGAAGATGTTTATTGAAAGAAATAAATGTGAAATTTTTAATTTACTGAAATAGGGCCAATATTGGAAATACTCAAACTTTTTTTGTAATCGTCATGTCGAAATAATCTTCGATAAAAATCCAATGAGATAAACTGTTTGCGTTTTTTGTAAATATTGAATATTATAATAAAACTAGACATTATACATAAAAATAAATAAACAGAATTTCTTAAATAAATTGTAAATTTAAAGGCATGGACAAGAATTAAAGAGGCAAACTGTTCTGACTCCAATAAAATGAATGATTTTTTTGAATATTGGAACACAATATCGTGAAAATAGCTCTTATTTCTTGAAGATGTTTATTGATCCAAAAAATACCTTTCCAACAACAAGATAAGAACTTGGTTAAACTTCAAAGGACTAATCATTAGATTCTTGATCCGCACTAGTGACCCTATACTTGTGTCGATTGTGAAACGTGTGATACATAGAGGTAATTGCAACTCCTAAGGCAAGGCCGACAACAAGAAAAGCCAATGAGATTGATGTCCCAGCATTTCCGAGCTCCTCATTACGCAGGAAAGCATGTCCTTTATGTTTCCTTGTTCGAGATTTGATCAATTCAAAATTGAAACAATAATTAGATGCGGTAGTTTCCACTGTTGAATCACCGACGGAGTATTTGGTAAGTGCACATGTGCTTTCTGATCTGCCTGTCGGACAGTAGTTAAACGATGTACAGCTCTCATTGCCATATTTCCAGTCGAAACATAGAGCAGCACATTGCTCTAAGTTCAATCCACTCACGGTGGTGATTACTTGATTAACTAATGATTCTCCAGTCAACATGAATTCATGAGATTTTTTGGCTACAAAGTTATATCAAAAATTGTTATTAGAAATGGTTGATTATTTGAATAAGAAAACTGTTAAGGTAATTTTGCTTCACTTACGAACATAAATGTCACAGTTTGAATTAGGTTTGATGATTTTAGACGTATAAGGTCCCGCAAATGAGCAAACATTGTTACCACAATACTGAAATGTTAAACAACTATTAGATCGATGGCATAAAGTGGCACAGTCGGCAACAGACACGGAATATAAGTGCTCTCTTTGATTTGAATCGAGAAACTCTTTTGCAGGAGTCTTTTGATATTCAATAAGGTAGTCTCGTGCATAAGTGGTGCAATTCGGATGAAATACGGTGCTATTTCCTGTAAACGGCTCAACTGTGGTGTAACATTCATGAGAAACCCCACTTATACAATGTGTGAAAGTTGAACAACTACCATCAAGAGATGAAGCACAACTGTTGTAACAATCAGCAAAATCGCGAATCGGGCCTTTAACAATTTGAACACTTTTCACTTTAGGGTCAAGTTTATGTAACTTTTGAATCTCAGTAAACCTGGGCTCTTTGGAAGAATCGCCAAAATAATTGTAGTCATAGACATTTATCATGCGATATTTCAGCGACTTTTCAGCAATCGAACAATTGCCACAGTGCATGGAGAAAATCATGTTTTTAGTTCCTAATAGTTCCCTATGCAAATGTGACAGTCCATACTCTTTAGCCAGTCTCACTTTAATTGTCAAAGGGAAAGTGTACAAACTACATTCTGTTAGAGGATCTCCATTATCTTGCGTTTGATTTAAAGGGTCGTCTAACTGAGCACAAAGGCCATCAGCAGAAGGGCAATGAAGTATTTTCCTGAAAGTAGAAGATGAGCAGACAATTAATCCGGAATCAAATAAGAGCTTAAGAATAATGAAAATTATTTTACCTGAAAAAGCTGTTCGCTACTTGTGTTTTCAAACATTCATTTAAAGATTTGGTTTTGATAGCATCAAAATGAGTGAACATTTTGCTGCCCACCCTGAGCTGAATATCTTGCTTCTTGAACGATTCTAATAAAAAATAAAAAGACATTTTAATTATGATTGAACTTAATGATAGTAAATGTAGATCCAAAAAAGTAAATGGTAAAACATTGAAAATTTTCTGAAAAAATGGCTTACTTTCGAGTGCCGGCTTCTCTAGAAATTCAACTGTTGATGATATTTTGTCAGACTGGAAATTAAAGTTCATTGAGCTTATTCGTAAAGGTGAAATGTTTTTAGTCAAAAGGTGTTTGAAACTTTCTTTGAATTCATAGATATTTTCTTCTGCTCTTTGAGTCACAAAATTACAAGAATAGTCATGATCTAAGAAAAAAAATCAAAACAAATTAAATCAATCGTGTTATCAATAATAAAATTGACTCATTTACTTTCACTCCTGATATCAAAAGTTAAATATTTCCTTTCTTGTGGATCAAAGCAATCGGTTATTTGAAATAGGTTTTCATATTGAGGTGGTGTTATGGCACGTTGAAACTCTAGAATATCCCGTCTTCTTGATTCATGAACTTGATATTTGCCCTTTTCAAAAGAAACAAAGTAAATTATTAGCTTAGTTGGTCAATGCAGTTGGTTAATTTTGAACTCAGTAATATCTCACCATCGAGTCTTTGTTGTAACCAACACGAATAACAGCAACTGGGATGTAGTTATTCGATGTTTTGTTATCATTCGGTCCGCTCTAAGAGAATTTAAAAAGAATAGAAAGAACAATATGCACGGGATTTTGAGTACTGATCATTTTGTAGCACAAGTATTACTTACCAATTTAGCCATGTATTGAGTAGTAACTACTTTGTCAAATTTAACTCCATCGATGTTTCTTCCATACTCAATTGATTCCCAAGTATCAAATACTCCTTGAGCTCTTGGTTCCTGTAAAAGCGGTGAAAGTTTCACGCAGAATTTATATTTGAATTAAAACTGAACAAATTTTTTTACTTATTAACAATCAAGTTAAAGATACCTACATAAACTGTCTTACCAACATATTTGTATTGGTCATTTGTCCATAACAATTCGTTAATATTCAACTCACCACCAATTAGCCCCTCAACTTTGTCACTAAATGCAGTCATTGAACATTTACCATGATTGAAAACATATGAAACCGCTAAATTGAAGTCGTTGATTGTAAAATTCTGATCCATGTCAATGCGAGTAACTTTTTTATCTAAATCAACGTACACCTGCAACGAAAAGGTTCGAGAAATAGAGATTAAATCTTTCAATAAGAGACAAATGAGAAAAATCGATGTGATCGCATGAATTAAATCATTAAATTATATACGATGAAATATAATACCTCGAGATCAACTTTTCTAGTGCCATTGGAATTGGTTATTTGCTCAGTTGCAGCAAAGTGAAGTTGACGAGTTTTCAATTCAGGAAAACTTAGATCACCATGGAAATAATTCGGGCATCCAATACCAGGGGTTGGCTGTTCAAAATAAATGCAACAAATTAAGATGAAACAATCCATTTAAATCCATATAATTTACCTCAACTCGATCATCAAGATTTTCATTAACGATGGTTTGACTGACAATCTCTAGGACCAAACTTGCAGAAGTTTTATTGCCGAAAGATGATCCAGAAATATCAGAAAAGCTCAGTCGAGCAAGCTTATCAATATCATTAGTATTGTTTGCTGTTGAAAAGAAAACAGATGAAAAAGAAAACTTAATTGAGGTGATGACATTTTGGTAACAAACGTCACTTTGACATTAACAGGAAATTTTGTTAATATTCGTTTGAATTAAAGTAATAATCGAATCACGTTGCTTGTTTGCATACATTTATACGAAGCCGTAATTGATAAAGTTTTATCGAGGTTAGCCCGTCTTTGTTTCATTCCATTGATTCCAGTTTCAATTGAATCTTTCTGAAAAAGAGAAATATGACTTATTAGACATTCAACCATCATTGAAGGGATAAACAATTGTCAAATAAATCAAAACAACTTGTATCCTTTGACTTTACATGTACACCTGTAATATCTTTTGAGAGCAACAACTATTGTGAGACAATTGTTTTGATCAGTTAAAATTATTATTTACCCATTTTAATGACTTGAGCCGGTAGATGACTGATGGGCCTAAATGGATGAGCATTTTTTTTACTTGGTTACGGACATCAGGCAAAGGTCGACTCCAATATGATGGTTGATCATCCATCCGTCGGCATTCTAAATCTGTCCAAGGTAGAGAAAGAGAGAAAGATTATAAATATAGTGTTTTAAACAATTATTAAAAATAAGAGAACTAACCATTTATAATAAGACGTTTATCATCGTACTTCTCATGGTAAAAAATATCGATGCTTTTGTTTTCATGTGTAACACGAATTTTTCCATGGAGTTCGGAAATACCAGCCAAATCTTCAGTTAGAATCCATTCTTCATTGGTTTTCTAAAAATTTTCAAAACAAAAGAGTTATAAAAAACTTAAAATCCATTTTTTGATATCGTTTTTAGTTGCAAACAAAACTAGGCTTTACATAAACAAAGAGATAAGAAACAAAAAGCTGTTGTTAACTGATAAGCCTTCAATAAGTGAACCTTGAAACAAAGAGAAACACATTTTGAACTGATTGCTAATCAGTGACTACTTACCAAATCAATAAGAACAGCTTCAATGTGGATATTAGCTTTTGGTGATTCAATGGGTAAACCAAACAGCGAATTGCCTGATATTTAAAAAATTATGTTATTAATTCAAATTCACTGTTAGTGATTAATTTTTAGTCACTGAGCAGTCATCTTACCGCCATAAACTGTTGATGTTGTGGCCAATATAAAACCAAACAGTAAGCATAATCGTTTCAATAACATTGAATTAGACACCATGATGAACTCTATTCACTGTCCAAAACAATTGTAACTTCAGCTAAAATTGAAACTTTTCAGTATAAAAGTGCCAACCAATTTCACCTTTGATCTGTCATTGAATCGACCAAAAAGAGTTGAACAAACACAGATTTAAAACTGCCACAATGAACTCCAATTAATTGCAAATAAAACAGTCTTTATGAATAAATTAACACATGAAATTTTATTGAAACATTTATTGATTAATGTTACAATTGAAAATGTATTATTTACGGTAAATTAAAAAAGGTAAAACTGTGGTGATGGGATGGATGAAAATGATTGAAAACAAAACATGAAACTGTGATCTGAGAGGTGATCAAAGTGATAAGTATGGAGAGTAAGACAAACAACAAAGTAATGACAAGGATGATGAACGATTGAGATAAATAATTAGATGAAAAAGTGATTTACATTGAAAATAAGAGGTTTTTCATGAAATTGAAGACCACAGAAGAGGATAGATAAAGGTAAATGAAGAAATAAGTTGACTGATATGAATGAAAACATTGAGATTTAATGTATCAATAACATTGAATACGATTGATTGTTCAAAAGCTTTTTCTTGCTTTGCACAATCAGCCTTGAAAATAAAAAAATATAAAACAATTAAATGATAACTAATTAACTGAGCCACGTATTTATGGACTAAATCGTTGGTCAGCGAAGAAGATTTAACTTGTATTAAATAAATCGCATCTAATGATCAGACTCATGTCTATTGATTCTCAACGAGTCTCGATAGCCTTTATCATGATCTTGATCATTGACATTTTAAGTTTGATATTTCAACCCAACAAGAGTCACTTTTATCACAATATATGCTTGACTGAAAGGTTATATCAGAATCAGATTATATCATGTTAGAACATTTTCTCTTGATAAAAAACTGATTTTCAATGAATTATTTCCATTGAACTCTTGTAAAGCAGAGAAGTTCTCAAAAAATGATTTTGTTTTTAGGCTTTTCCAGTGGAATTTTGTCTCCACTTATTGTATTGATTTGAATCTTGTTGCACTTTGACAAGGTGAATGTTGATCTTGGCAATGCGCTTTCCCGTGTCTTTGGTGATTCAACAGCATTTACCCTTCGTTTGGGTAGCTTATTCAACCTCAAAAACCATGAAAGCTTAGGATAGAGAAGACATATTGCTTTACGAAAACTTCCATTGGTTATTCCATAGATTAGTGGATTAATCGCACTATTTGTTGACGCAAAAACTTGGGCCCAAAATTTTGCCTCTTCACTCCAAGGTTTTACCTAAGAAAGATCAAGAAATTGCAAAATTAGTCATTGAATCTGAAAATCTATTACATTAGGAATTTTTTAATCAGTTGACTTGAATAACTCGATGAGAATGAGTTTATCAGAAAAGCTTGTCTTATCTCTTTCTGGTTAATACAACAGAAGATTAAGGTATAATGGAAAGAGTTTTCATTTTGTTTGAATGATCGAGTTGTAAACAGAGACTCACCGAATCAACTGATTTAAATGCAACAAAGCGATAAAAGACGATAACTTGTAATGGGCTCCAGCAAATGGCAGATGTGATCAAGTAAATGAAAAACATTAATATGATTTTACGTCGATGTTTAATTTTAACAATGTTTTCCTCGGTGCTTATCCTTGTCTCGTAGCGTTTCATCTTGGCAATCACCAGGCAATATGAAAAAGTCATCAGAAATAAAGGAATGTACACCAGAAATGCAAGCAGTATAAACATGTACACGTCCACCTTATCTGAATCAACTTTACAATAGATCTGAAAAAGAGAAAGAAAGAGATAAATTAATTTTAATGTTCATCCTCATGAATTATTACACAATCATGATGAGTTCCTCCACAAACCAGTAAGCATTTATAATTAAAGTGAACTGTGGCTTCATCAGATTATTTTGAGTCATTTGAACAAAAAACTAACTTCGCACTGATGAGCACAATCAACTCGATAATATTTAGTTGGACAGTAAACTGAAACTTCGTTCACTTTGTTTTGCATGAACTACACTTTAAATTTATGCATGACATAACCCAATCCACTCAATCCACTAATCCATCAATTAACCAACATTAATCCAGACTAAGCCCTGATAACTGTGAGATGCATGAAAATCTTATGATATTCATTCAAAGATGTACCTCTAAGTAATCACACCATTGACGGGTTCGGTATTCACGCCAGAAATAAATTGGTGAAGCAATTAGGAAGGCGATAACCCATATGAACGAGAGGACAGCTAGAGCTCGTTTCTTCCCCATTGGAGTTCGGAAAGGTTTAATTATTCCAATCAATCTGTCACAGGATATCCATGTCAACGAAAACACACTAGCAATTAGAAAGAATACTAAAAGACAGAATCAAATGAATACAAGATTAATGCATAAATACATTAAAGACATTTGGACTGAAGGAAAATGATTACGTAGCTACGAGATTTGTAGGAATGGGAAAAGATAGCAAAACTTGATCATTTATGGCTAATTGTTTTGCTACTTTTAATGAGAAAAATTGGAATCAAAAATGCTTTACCTTTGGCTGATGATTCAGTTTTACAAAAAAACGGTCCAAGAACATAGTTTTGAAACAAATTTTCAATACAAGAAGTCCAAGCAAACATTAATGTTGTCAATAAATCTGCAATGGCCATGCTACAGATGAAGATGTTGGTACAGTTTCGAGAATTTTTAAACTTGATGATGACAATTACGATGAAATAGTTTCCAATACACGAAATGGTAATAATGATGAGAAACAGAAGAACCTTTAAACTCATCTCTAAATACGATTTGTGACCCCAAATAGGTACTTGGTTTTGATACGAAATTATTGATGTATTGTAAATCCATTCTTCAGGTGCACCAGAAGCTAGAAAATCAAAACACTGAGGTGCCTGTGCGGCACTTGCTGGCAATTGATCAAAAGACGAAACCTCGAATTTCATGGATTTCAATTGTTTTTCAAACTAGTCCAGCTACTTTCAATCAAAATAACTCAATTGAAGCTAATGCATGTCATGTTGTCAAAAAGACGAGGTAAATATAAGTTTAAGCTTGAATCAAGGATATAGCATATGAGAAACTTCAAACGATGAATGAAAAGACGAGATTCTGATAACGAGCCGCAGACTAACTAATGAAAGGGGAATAAAACTGATAGTAATCCGATCAATAATCGATCCGGATCGATTGTAAAGGGTGTTGCGTGGTATTACATGCGATTATCTTATCCTAATGGAGATTAAACAACTGATAAAAATGAAAATGTCCAACCATTGGTAATAGTTAAGATTAATTTTACTGAACTTTTTTTGCAGCTGGATAAAAATCGAACTTAAAGATGAACAGTTTTCTTTTATTTTCGAGCACAGATTATGTTAGGGAAACCCAAAAGTTTCTGCGATTTCGCACAGGTTTACTAATTAATTATTAAGAATTTGATTCTGGTGATAAAGATGTTATATATCATTCGAAAGCTAATCAAATTAATAATATGAAAAGCAAGTCAATTTTGCAAAAAATGCAGTTTTGATACATCGTAGTAAGGGAAGCACTTTTGACTCTTAAAATGAGATGCCCAATAGACGAGTTAATGTGACCTGGGATAAGTGATTTCTCCCCCATGACAAATAATAATGTAAGATGCAATTGCCTGGTGAAATGACTAGACGTGATCATATGTTCATGTACGTATTGTGACGATTTGGTTGATCCACCTTCTTTTCCTTCTCCTTCTTTACCTTCTTCTTTACCTCGTGATTTTATTACTTTCAACTCAATTTCGTTATCGACTTTCCCCTCTTTTTTACTTAAATGTTACTTTCCCTCACAATTTTATTACTTCAGCCTCAAGGGCAAAACTTTATGACTTTTCATTTAATTTAATTTCATTTATTTTAAACCGAATTTCCTTATCAAATCTTGTATAAAAGCTGAAGCTTCTGCTTCATCGATTCATTCAGTCTTCCCCTCCGAATACGAACCAATAAAAGTTTTATTTACTTTGACATTTGTTTCTACGATTCTCCAACTTTACAATCGGAGGTTCCATCGAGAGAATCGGTCTTCCAAGTCACCGCAGTGAACTCAAACAGCTTTTCTCACAAGAAATTCTCTTGTGTTCAAAGTTTTCAAAGTTTGAAGTTGTTTAAAAAGTTTTTATAAGTTTTATAAGTTTTCATCATATGATGAACCAGAAATAGATGAAGAAGAGTAATCCATTGATGATGCTGTTAATGAGGATGGCTACATATCGATTTCTGCTGCCTCATAATCCGTAATGATACGCATAGTCCGGTGGAAAACTCTTCAGTAATCCAATGGGCTTATATCGGGGGAATAAGGGGGGGGGGTGAAACCAAAGGGTAATTCCTTTTTCCTCCAACCACTGCAGCTTTGTGGGGTCTGGCGTTGTCATGTAATAGCCAGATGTGGTTGCTTGATCTTTCATTAAGCCATTCTTAGATTGTGTCAAACGCTTTATAACTTTCTCCAGTTACAGTCGTTTTTCAGGCTGAAGTATCCAAAAGACAATTCCATGCTAATTCATGCCACAATAAGAATTCGCTGCACACAGCAGGTGTATTTTCGTTACAACGTAACTCGATAGGTAACATTAATTTTTTTGTCAACGGTGGCTCTCGTCAACTTGGTTTAACTAACATATCTACTTCGTATACATAGGATATCGCAATGTAAGTTATTGCATAAGAATTGCACCCTTTAAATTGAATTAAATTGTTTTAAAAATTTTACAATGCAAGTTTTCCTTTTACAGCTATCGGTGATGATATATCCTGTAGTCACTCTCGGACCTTGTGCTGGTAGATGATGAATATATACCTACCAATTGTGAATTCATTGCATATCAGTGCGATAATTATCAACAATTTTTAGATGGACAATGCACTGATTGCAAGGATAAGACGAGCAAAGACATATTGCAAAGACGATAAATGCAAGGCATTTTCAATATGCGAAGCAAATGACTTCAAAACAGTCATGATATGGCAACACCTAACAGCCAATAAATCATTCACATCTCTCGTGATCATTTGTCAATTTGTGCTTCTTTGACTCAATCCAAGTCCATTCCGTTTAACTTTTCGCTACCTTGTAACTCAAACTTATATTAAGTGGACAATTCAAAGCCACGCGAGTATTCCCGTAGGCTAAAAAATACTTTTTCAATACTGCGGAGAAAACACCATGTTGTTGTAAGCCATAAGTTTTTAGTTATGTAGTTTTCTATTGTAAAGAAATCCCCTTTACTAAGTGAGAGTTCAGTGCGAACTGAAGATTTTATTCTAATAACTCTAGTATATAAATATTATTACATTGTTGCAATTATGGAATATGATGATAAAATCAATAAGGGTGGGTACTAAAGAGGTTTAGAAGATATAATAATTCTTTATAATTTGGGTGTGTTACATATACCGGTCGCCATTCTGAACAGCCACTGTTCAGTTACAATAATTACGCGGATTCTGATGATGTGAAGCTTACATTTTGCGATGGTTTGATTGATTTTATTGCTTTTTCCAAAGCTTTCAGCTTATTTTCAGTTTCTTTTAACATTTCTTTAGTATCTTCCAATTCTGAAGCCATTCTCCTTAATTCTTGATTTTTCAATTGTAGTTCTTTCTGGGTAGAGCTGAGGGTCATGCAAAATCTCGAATGAAATTCTTGGGGTAATTTATATGTTATACATAAGGAACAATTGTTAACATTATGTGGGCAGATATTTATATGCCATTTGTAATCTTCATTAGTTATAATTTTCCTGCAAGATGGGAACTAGCTGCCGAAAATTATTGATGAGTTGTATTAAATTACCATAACATTATTAAAAACACTTCACTTTTTATTACTGAGATTATTAACAAAGACAACTAGTTGAAATCACATAAAGTTAGCATATCATATATGGTTTTTCACATCTTTTTATATTCTCCATCCTCTTTGTCTTCATCTTCATCTTCATCGTCATCATCGTCACCAACATCCTGGTTTGTAGCCTAATAAGGCTACATCTTAGTTTTAGGTCTAAAATAAACTTTTAACCTTGTTTTGAGAGTTGGCAAGCTAATTTTGCCAACTCTCTTATTTTTAGCATTTCCCCCTCCTCAGGCTCAAAGGTCCCTCTTTTGTCTGACTAGATGATGATTCCGAAGATGATGATAGAGTTACATTTGAAATTAAAATGAAACTTCATGGTTAATATTTACAACATATATGGAAACCATTCACAATTAATGTTTATAAGGATTAATTAGCTAAGTTAATGTTATTTTCCAAGTTACTAAATTCGTTTAAAACTTCTTTAGTAAATAGTGAATAATAATATGTCATTTGGTATTGTTGCAGTAGCTCCTCAAAATCCTCTATTAATATACAAATGTGAGTTATGTAGTTCCGGATTTTTCTTCTATGGTTCGTAATTAATGCCCGATGATATCTGCAATAAACTTCCACTATGTGAACCATTCTTCCACAAATTCCTTTCGATGCGAGGAAACTACGCCTTTCCATTCTATTGAAGTGAATATCGGTTGATTGGAGTAAGTTATTTATGATTTTAATTTGTAGAGTGGCCGATCGCTTCATGGATAACCATCTATTTAATCTATATTCGGACATTTTAAAGAAAATGAGAAGAATTATATGGGTTAGCTTTTTAGATTAGGATTATAATTAAAGTTAAGTTTACAATTTGAACTATATGATTATTATTCACAACATTTATGATAATCTTTTATAATTAGGCATTCTAAAGTTGCATTAACTATAATCTAACAAAATTTTTAAACTCTGCTATGTATTCTTTACGCAAGATGGCGTAAAAAAAAGTTAAATTATTGCATTCAATGTATCTTTCAATTTGTTTCAAGGCGACAAACATATCTCCAACCAGGGCTTGGAATCTCCTGGTTCTACCATGTCCGTGTAATTTGTTGAAATATAATTTTCTATAGGTGATAGCAGCTTCCAACATTAGTTCCAGGACGGCAAGGTATAACATGTAACGATATCGTACACGTCTCGGGAGTGGGAATTCTTCATCTAAGATTTGTTCATTATAAAATCTAATTTTTTCTTCGGCATACTCTTTAACATGCCTCCAATTAGCCAGACTTGATCTATTTTGATCGTCCATTCTGTAAAATTACAAAGAAAACAAAGATTTTGGATTAATAAAGGTGATCTACATTGTAATTCTTCGGATTTTTGGCCTTAATAATGGTTCCTCTCGTCACCAGGCCGACAAAATTTTGTGTTTTCTATTTGGTTGAACATAAGTCGTTCGTTTATTCCTTATTTTGCAACCAATAAACAAGCAAAGTAGACTAATAAATGACATCAGTCCTGTAACCCCAATCAGTTGAACTAATGGATTAGTACTGTGTCGTCTGACAAAATTTACGGCATCAAACCTTTCAATCACAATTGGTTTTAATTCGAAGCTTGACATGGTCGGATTTAACAAGAGATTAATCTTCAAGGTTTCAGTTGCGTTAATGGTCATTTTTACGTGAGTAACATTGTAAAATGTTTTTCCAATTGTGAAAACAGTATCCTTAGTTATTCTGAATGGATAAATTGGACAAGGTTTAGTTATATCAAATATCGTAATGTTGGTATTGAAACAATATATATAAAGTTCTTCATTAGCAACTTTAATTTGGACATCGGCTCGTTTAATTTTTTCAGTGCAATTTTCTGTTTTCCAAAATTCATCTAGAGTTTTGTCATCTGAGTCGATGCAATCATTATCATCAGGATTTATGATTAGATTTTCCTCGTTTTCAATATCTTCTGGATTGAAAGGACAAATTGAATTATTCCTCCAAATAACGTATTTTGGCCCACGAAAAACTTTGTTACAATAATGGGTTTCATTGTGGTGAATTAAACGAAAAGGGTCCGCTCTATAGATAATTTTGGTAGTATCTATGACTGGTGAGTCGAACTTTATTTTCAATCTGCTGGTTCCATTTCGTTTTTCAAACTCACAATTGAAATCTGTTGCCATTTCAGTCGGACAATCTACTCCACATTCCAGAGTAATGTTAAATATCTTAAAAAATTGATCACTAAGTCTTTTATTTTTGACATCACGCTCAGCCAATTCTAATTTA